CTAGGGTGGGGACTCTGTCCTGGCTGAGAGCCAGTCTTAGGGAGAAAAATCCATGGAGCTGGATATCACCACTGATAACATTCATGGTAATGCATATCATTAAAATTTTTAAAAATATAGTATCATTGAAAAAAGTGTATCTGTGTGCATCTTTAGTTGCCATTCTATCATTCTATCTCATTGGAATAAGATATGACAAAAACCCACACAGCTCTCTTTGACAAAGAGGAGGAATCCTTGATTTAAAAATGTTGGGAAAGAAAGGTAACTTAATATTTAAATGTGGTATCTGCACAACTTCAGGGAAAGCAATAGAGAAGTGACCACATGAGTAAAAAATTTATTGAGAGTCACAACAATCTAAGGGGGGAAAGCACTTACCACAAATATTGGAGGGTCAGTGATTTTTAAACCAATCTTACCTAGATATCAAGAGTTACTATGACATCTGTGTTCTGCCTAGATAGAAAGTATTCTTGAACAACAGAAGCTATGTTATAATAGTCAGTCTGTTGGTAATAGACACTTTGAGGGTTTTATGAAAGTATTCAAATGGTTTATATATCAGATGTACAACTGTATTAGGGTTCTTCAGAGAAACAGAACCCATAGGCGATAGATCTATGGATAAGAGAGAGATAGATAGATGATAGATAGACAGATGACAGATAAATCAGATGGATATAGATATATAAATTTAGATATATAAATTCTATATAGTTATATAATCACATATAGGCATATATTTTATATATAGATATTCATATAGAGATAGATGTGGCACCTATCAACTGTCTATCTATCCACTGAGAGAAAGAGAGAAAGAGAAGATTTATTATAAGAAACTGGGCCACATAATTATGGAGGCTGAGAAGTCCCATGATCTCTTTTCTACAAGCAAGAGACCTCATAGACCTGTGGTGAAAGTCCTAGTACAAGTGCAGGAGACGAGTGTCATAGGTCAGACTGTCAGAGTACAGGAGACCAGTGTCATAGGTCACACTGTGAGACAGAGTGCAGGAGACCAGCATCATAGGTCAGACTGTCAGTCAGTGTGTGGGGGACCAGTGTCGTAGGTCAGACAGTCACACAGAGTGTAGGAGACCAGTGTCATAGGTCATACTGTCAGACAGAGTGCAAGAGACAAGCATCGTAAGTCAGACTGTTAGTCAGTGTAGGGGACCTGTGTCATAGGTCAGGCAGTCAGACAGAGTGTAGGAGACCAGTGTCATGGTTCAGACTGTCAGACAGAGTGCATGAGACCAGCATCATAGGTCAGACTGTCAGTCAGAGTGTGGGGGATCAGTGTCATAGGTCAGACAGTCACACAGAGTGTAGGAGACCAGTGTCATAGGTTACACAGTCAGACAGAGTGTAGGAGACCAGTGTCATAGGTCAGACTGTCAGTCAGAGTGAAGGAGACCAGTGTCATAGGTCAGACTGTCAGTCAGAGTGAAGGGGACCAGAGTCATAGGTCAGACAGTCAGACCGAGTGCAGGAGACCAGTGTCGTAGGTCAGACTGTCACACAGCATGTAGGAGACCAGTGTCATAGGTCAGACTGTCAGACAGAATGCAGGTGTCCAGTGTTGGTAGGTCAGTAGGTCAGACAGTCAGAAAGAATGTATTCTTCCTTCCTCGGTCTTTCAGTTCTATTCAGGTCCTGGATGGATTGGATAATGCTCACTCCCATAAAGAAAGGCAAAATTCTTTACTCAGTCGATGAAATCAAGGGATAATCTCATTGGAGACATCCTCACAGATAAATTTTAAAAAATAATTTTAAATAGGTTGTGTCAATCAAAAAACTTGTTTTTATTCTTCTGATTGTCAAAATCCTTCTTTCCAATTTAATATTTTCTCATGTTCTTATTTCTCTGAGTTGATAAATCATAGTTCCCTTTGAAATACTCTTTTACTTCCTTGCATTCACCGTTTGCTTTTTTACTCTGCCTTTGGTTTGATGAATATATTTTGTTTTAGAAAATCTCTTATGTGTCAGCTAATCCTTGCATTTCTGCTGTTAGGAAGGTCTTTGGACAAGAGTAAGTCTTAAAAACTGCCAAGTTGTGCTGAACTATGACCCAAGTGATTCATTCATCTAGGAAACAGTCAGCACCAGTGTGACATTTCACTGGGCGCCATCTGACTCCCCTGGACAGAGTCTGTCGGGGACTGGAGGCCATGGTGGGGGGCCGGCACCTGAGAGCCCAGCAGCAGGAAGGGGCTGGATGCCTCGCAGTTCACTGTGTAGATGTCCCCTTAGTGACCATGCGCTGCCTATCTTTCCAAATTCAGAGCCTCTTGAAATCACCACCTCCTTAAACTATAAGATGCCCAGCTACATGACATAAGTGTGAAGATGAACAGTCAGGTTTTAACAGCCTTATAAACACACTTTTGACTAAGCCTCCAATTTCAGTACCACCTGTAGTCAATGGAAATACCTGGTCACTCCAACTTCAAGCTATTGGAGAGGGTTTTTCAGCATGATTTAACTTGCTTCCATTGCCAGCTTATTTCTCTTAATTACAATAATTATTGGTATATGTAACCTTGCTTAGATTTGATTAAATACTGTTTATTGTTTTTCTTTTCAGCATATTTTATTGTTGTTGTATCCAAATCTCATGATATTTGTACATTTATACCTAAACTTAAAGTTTTCAGACAGTGCTAAACAATCATATCAAAAAGAAATTAAAATGTCTTCTTTAAAAATTGTTATTTTTTTCTTATTCTTGAATGATAGTTTAGCTGGGTTTAGAGTTAAGAACTTATGCATTTTCTCAAAGGAAGATTTTCCTTTGAGGCTTCCTTTTTGACTCATGAATTATTCAGAATCATGTAGTATAATTTCCATGGACTCAGAGATTTTTCTAAAATATTTCATTTGTTATGTTATTGATTTTCAGTTTTATTCCATGATTTCAAGAGGACACAGTCTGTAGAGTTTCAGTTCTTTTAAATTTGTTCATGTTCATTTTATGGGCCATAATATTCTCTTCTTTGATGAACATTTTTGGGGACTTCAAAAAAAAAGTATATTCTATTTTTGTTGGGTGAAGACTTTTATCTATTTCTGTCTCCTAGTCGGCGTAACTACAGAGTTGTCTTTATATTTTTACCATTCAGGGTTCATTTCTGCTCATATGAATGTTTCAGCAAGAAAAGGTCAGTGCCGTCTTGAAAAAGGCTACTGGGGAACATTGCTAAGCGGCTTACATCTCCACCATGATAATAGCCTGACTCCAGCTGTTGAGCAACTCACACACTTAATCTGCTCCTTGTGCTTGTTAATATCACTCGGTATAAGAATAGCAATGGGACACAGTTCAAGCATCAGTTTTCTCAGCTGAGAATATTGACAGGCAGTGGCCAACTCCTGGACAGGAAATATTTAAAATAAAAATAAATTGAGTAAATAATAACATATTTTAAAGAGAGCCTTGATTGGAAAGTAGGAGAAGAAAAAGACAATGAAACAAGGATAAGATGAAAAGCAGGAAAAAATAATACATAGCTACAATTTGTTGGGTCACCCAACAGGGCAAGCAGTGTTTACTGCTATTTTTCTATCTATGAAGTATTATTAGGCTTTAGAAAAGAAAAACTTTTCATGTAACTACTTTGAAAAAGCAACTCCTCTTTAAGCCACATCACAAATAATATAACTCTTCCCTCCCATCTCCAACTGAGCCTATTGTTTTTTATGCTTATGACAGACATTACACTATTCAGCGATATATCACTCTGCCCCACAGAAGTCTTGTCTAAGTCACATGGAAACTGGGGCAGTGACTCTGGGACAAATCAGAGAATGGGTATGTATTATAATTTCTGGTAAGTAGGTGGTATCTTTTGGTATTTCTGACAGCACAAGGACCTGTGAATTGTTCAGTTAACCCTAATGGAATTTTTCAATTCAGGTTTTTGTGTTAAATTGCTGGGACCACCATTTAAAATCTGAGTTTAATTTTCAAAAATCCACTTGGATTTAGACTGAGTTGTGTTTTACCACTTTACCAAAAAGGAGATAACATAGAGAATCCATGAGGCAGTGAGTTTTATTTTATCCTTTGTTTTATTTAAAGATGGCTTTGTATAATGTAGGTAGAATAGATTTGAAACAAATATGTACCATATTTGTAATCACACAGAGATTGAGTTTGGGTTTAAACATCCTTCTGTCTCATGGGATGAGAGCCTGTACATCCTCTGGAATGAGTACCCCAGAGGATTCTCACTCTCATGGGTATGTCTTATGAAAATTCTAAATAAAAGAAGAATATAGCAAAATGTAAGTTGTGTTTTACCACTTTACCAAAAAGGAGATAACATAGAGAATCCATGAGGCAGTGAGTTTTATTTTATCCTTTGTTTTATTTAAAGATGGCTTTGTATAATGTAGGTAGAATAGATTTGAAACAAATATGTACCATATTTGTAATCACACAGAGATTGAGTTTGGGTTTAAACATCCTTCTGTCTCATGGGATGAGAGCCTGTACATCCTCTGGAATGAGTACCCCAGAGGATTCTCACTCTCATGGGTATGTCTTATGAAAATTCTAAATAAAAGAAGAATATAGCAAAATGTATGCCGGAAGCACTTCTTTATACCCAAGATGTCTTATGTAATTGAGTTCGTGGAGTACAGTTACATTCATTTAAAAAAATTTAAACAGGTATAGCAGATAACACATAATTTGATGGCTTTCTAATATTGAAATGTTGTTACTTCATATGCTATTAAAAAATCATGAATTCATCCAACTAACTCTGCAAACAGCATTCCTCCCCATGGAACAGTTAATAGGTGGACAAAAGGACAGATTTTTTTCTTACCAAAATTACTTGTAAATTATTAGGAATAAAGAATAATTCATTAAGTACTTCCTTTGTCCTAAGCCCTCCCACCTCTAATTAAAATTCAGACTCTCCAATGTAGAGTGGGTGCAGATCATGATTTTCAAATTAGTTCCAGTTCAAAAACTCAATTTATTCTTTCCCCTCACGCTGTCCCCCTTCCTCAGGAGTCTTTTCAGGGCCCCCTTCACCTCTTTGTTCTGCAGGTTGCAGATGAGGGGGTTCATCAGTGTGTAACCATGGTGAAGATGAAGGTGACAAACTTGCCATGTTTGGAAGCAAGTTGGTTCTTAGGGTCTGTGTACACCACAGCCACTGTCCCATAGAACATGACGACCTCTGGGAGGAGTAGGTGGCAACGGCCTTCTGCTTTCCCTCCTCAGACTGGATTTTCCCCAAGGCTTGAGCTATGAAGCCATAGAAAGTCAGGATTAACCCCACTGGCACAATGGTGAAGAGAACAGCAGAGATGGTCATCTGCCACTCACTGGCAGTGGTGTCCCCACAGGACAGATGTATGAGTTCAGGAACTTGGCATAAAAAGTCATCCAGGTGGTGGTGAGCACAGAAGGGAAGCTGGAATGTGACGGGGGTTTGGGTCACAGATTCCATCAGGCCGCACAGCCAGGCCGTGAGCACCAGCTTCCAGCACAGCGGACGGTTCATGATGACGGTGTAGTGCAGGGGCCGGCAGATAGCGACATAGCAGTCGAAGGCCATCACCACCAGCATGACGCCTTCTGTGGCCCCAAGACAGAGCAACACACAGACTTGGAGGACACAGCCTGTGTAGGTGATGCTCTTGTCTGGCCCCCACAGGTTGGACAACATCTGGGGCACAGCAGCTGTGGTGTAGCAGAGATCCAGGAAGGAGAGATTGCTGAGGAAGAAGTACATGGGGGTGTAGAGACGAGGGTCCACACAGGAGATAAGGATGATGGTCAGATTGGAGAGGACGATCATGGTGTACAAGAGGATCACAGCCCAGAAGAGAACGGTTTCTAGCTGTGGCTTTTCAGAGCAGCCCAGAAGGATGAAGCCGGCTGGGAAGCTCTTGTTGATCATGCCTGTTGCTTTTGGCTTTGGGGTTTGCATGTAATTGTAAACAAGTGTTGTGAACATGTTTTGCAGAAAGGCTTTACTTTCACTTATTTAGAGAATGCAAGCGTTAATAGTTTTCTAGGGAGTTTTGGGAAATGGGATATATGGGTATTTTTTATAACATTAGACCAATAGGATATGATATTTTTCATAAGGCTATGGTTTTAACATTAAAGTAGCTTGGTAGCCCACTAAACTTAGGACTCTTATCCATAATCTTTAATCACAAAATACAGTAGACACCTTCATAATCACCTTAGATCATGTGAATGTTCCTCCAAGTTTGTTCTTGCAGTCATGCATATAGAATGTCTAAAATACATGGAACTGCATGTAGAACACCAAGTTTTATCTTTGAAATATGTAGCCCCCCAATACAACAGAGCATTTATTTTCATTGTTTGATATTGTGAATAGGAACATGCAATCTGAAGTTATTCACAAAATAAGGCTATTCTGTTCTCCATGTAGGCTCTAAACCATGAAGACCCTGAATAAAAGTCACTTTCAAGTATATGAAAAATAACCTTGGGACTGAACACATACCAGTTTTTAAATGAGGCAAGCCTAGCTTGAATACCTGGTTCTTTCAATTAACTAAAGTAATTTAAATCTATTTAAGCAAACAACTTAAAAAATGAGTCAATATTCTTATAGGAGAAATGGCTATAACCTTCACTTCTGGGGAATAACTGTAGAGAAAATTGTTTAATTGTGCCCACTACCTTAACCAAAAAATGGTAAGTATTATAATCACAGTGAAATGAAAGCATTATAAATTATAAATGCCCTTTAATTCTTCCACGACAAATGTCCATTATTGTGCTCCTCCATAATCACTTGGGCATACTAAATAAATTTCAATAAAGAACCAGAACTTAATGATAGAAAAAAATCAAAGTGAAAAGATGATGCAGAGGCATTAATTAAACAATAGAATCATAGCGCATTCAATTTTTCATTACTGTCCTGGAATATTAATTCCTGTCCCCTAGGAGCAGTAGAATAGTTCAGAGGACATCAAGAATGTGAAAGGTATAGGACAAAAAAATGCTGTCAGGAGGAGGAAACTGACTTTTAGATTACTAAAACTAAATTTTGGAAGTGGCAAAACAATGCACAGATTTTGAGGAATATACAGGGTTATCCTTCTCAACAGCGACTTTCTGTCTCTATTTAGCATGTGCTGTGTACCAGCCACTGTGCTCTGACGTGGGAATGCACTGGGAATGAGAGAGATGAAATCCCTGATTTTGCAGAACTCAGAGGTCCATGGGAGATAGAGAGAGCAAGTGCAGAAACAAGTAAATAAATAAGAATTCAACCATTTTTTTTTTGAGAGGGCATCTCTCATATTTATTGATCAAATGGTTGTTAACAACAATAAAATTCTGTAGAGGGGGTCAATGCTCAATGCACAATCATTAATTCATCTCAGGCCTAATTCTCGTCAGTCTCCAATCTTCTGAAGCATAATGATCAAATTCTTACATGGTGAACGAATTCTTACATAGTGAATGTACATGGTGAACAGTACAAGGGCATTCATCACAGAAACTTTCGATTTTGATCATGCATTATGAACTATAAGCAATCAGGTCAAATATGAATATTTGTTTGATTTTTATACTTGATTTATATGTGGATCCCA